GGGACCAAAAAGCAGATGCCAAAAAGGAAATTGCTCCCCCTTCTTTCGCAGGGGCAATGGGGGAGTCAGGCGACCTGAGGTGAGAACAGATGGAAGGAGGCAGGAGTTTGGTTAAGGTGGGCTGGGAAGGCTGTAACTTATGAGTACCTTGGCCAATGGGGAAAAGAAGGGGGCATACCTCAGTCACGAAATTAGGATAATTAATGGGCTGCGTCCTACAGCAATTGGATAGACTCCATAGGGATATGTCCAGTGGACCCTTGCTTTATTTGAATAACATTTTAGGACTCCTCCGTCTCGTTTTTTGGACATTCTGTTCTTGGCAGTGAGATTTTCCGCACGGAGGCAAGGCACATCTTGCAGTTCTACTCATGCACTTCCCGTGCGTGGACATCCCGCGGAGTGGCCAGCGGACCTGGGACAGCCAATGTGCCCCGGGCTGCAGGCGCTGCAGGAGCTGTGCTGCTGTGGAGACAGACACCTCCCCCCCACAGGCCTCCGTGCCAAGTTTGTTTTGAGCAATGACTGGCATGTGCCTGACTTGGCTGCATGCCCCGGCTTTGTAGGAGCTCCTGCATTTTCAACGGAGGCGATGCCTGTTGCCTCTGCACTCTCCGTGATAGAGTTAATGATGCTTGTTGTGTCCCGGAGCCTTCCCGAGTCAGGAAATGGTGCTGCTGAAGTCCGTAGTGGCCCTGGAGACCGTGTTTGCTGCAGGATGTGGGAGGAGGCATTTAGTTCCACCCCAAGTCCTAGGGTAGGCTTAGACAGCCTCGTCGCACCGCCCCCGTCCCTGCCCCGTACCCTGGTCCTGGGCCAACTTCTGCTCCTCCTCCCCTGCCTCCTTTCTCTTTCGGTCTCTCTTTCCTACCGTCCTTGTCGTTCCTGTAACAAACCCCTCTGCAGTTACCCCCCCATCCCCCTCAAGCTGAAGCCAGTGAGCACCAGTTGCAGGATTGTCCTGGCACCAATTCTTCTGCAGGAGCTTCTCCACCAGCAGCTCCTCTACAGGGACTCCCAAAGGCGGGAATCTGGGAGCATCCGTGTGGCATCCATCTGTCCCAGTTTGTTCTCCATCACCAAACCCTCTGTGTTGTCCCCCCATGGCAGAAGGATCGACTCAGCTCCTGCACGAGGTATCCGTGGGGCGCTGTGTGGTCATCGAGATTACCAACGGCCTGCAGCAGGGCACCCTCCAAAACCCCAGGTAAGGTGTCCAGAGCCCTCCGCATGCACTCTTGCTTCCTCTAGTGCCTCCAACTCCTCCGTCCATCCCCCTTCTTCCACTGCCTCTCTCCTCCCTACAACATCTGGGAAAGCCAAGCTGCCCATATTGCTTCCAACCCGCTCCTCAGGTCCTCATCATCCCTTCCCTGTGACATTGCATCATCTCTTCAAGGCAGCGCTCTGGGCTTAGGAAATGTCCCTGCCATGAATAAATACCTCACCCATGCCCTAAGTCCCTGTGCCTCCAACCAGGTTATTCCACACTGGAAAATCATGAGTGGTGAAGGGGAAGCTGGGGCTGTGACCCCATGGAGTGGAATATCCTGTGTACTGCTGCATGTGCATGGCCTCTGGTGGCTCCTGCATGGGTCCGTGGGCATCTCCTGTCCCTGGTTCATGTCCAACAGACATGGGTCCTGCAGTGCCCCAGCGCTCTCCACCACTGAGGGGCAGGCAGAGATGTTCCCACAGCAGTGGGCAGCAGGCCAGAAGAGTTCAAATGTTGGGGAAAATGTGTTGGAAAATCTGCACAAGATCTGATGCCTCTCCTTTCCCCACATGTCTTAGGCACGACCCTCTCCTATCCCTTCTGTCCCCACCTTGGTGCCTGCAGCAATGTAACCTATGCCTGCCCATGGGGAGGAAAACCCATTGGTCCTCATGGGGATTGCGTGTCCTGTTCTTGCATCCCCCATCCATGACTACGCTGCCCGCCAATCTGGTCTTTGTGTTTGAGGCCACCAGGGTGTCCCATCATGGTCCCCCCAGCCCCACTCTTCTCTTTATTTCCTCTACAGGAGCTATTGCTTCAGTGGCCACAGCCACCATGCCCCACCGGTGCAGATCCCTCCCGGCACTGTAGGGAGATGCGCCTTTGTGAAGCGGTCGTACAGTCTGCGTGGCAGCGTGGGGGTGCTGGTCTACGAGGGAGACACCTTCTCCTTGGCCATCATGTTCTCCAACCCCTTTGACTACAACCTCTACTACATTGAGTTTGGCCTCAAGCTGTTGCCAAAGGACCAGAAGATCCAAAGCATGGAAGACCTCTTCAGGGATATGATGGAAAGGTCCCCAGTAAAGGAGTTTCCTGCCTTCCAGAAGACCAAGCTCTCGTATTCCCAATCCCCAGTGCAGGTGACCATGGATAACATCCTTGTCACTGCCACCATGTCCAATGCGGCCAAGTCTGTCCTCACCATCCTCCTGGAAGAGAAGTCATCAAATGAGCTGTGATGGAAGGGGGTAGTACCTGTCCCCTGCATTGCCACAGCCCCAGTCCTTCACCCCCTTCTCTGTGCCCAGTGCTCCAAGCACAAACAGCCTGTATTTTGGCAGGGCTGTAGCAGGACAAGGTCTCCTTGTCACAGTCGGTCTTTTTAGGGAGGCCCAATGAGATTCCCCCATGCTCCAGGATGGGGGCTGGGGTAGGGTCAGCTCTCAGCACCTTTTGTGCTATCAAATCTTGCCTTGAAGGCATAGGTACATTTTCCACATCCTATCCAATGTCTTCCATGATGTGGCACCATCTGGTGCCATATGGACGATGTGTGACACGTGTTGTGTCCTGTGAGACTTTTATCTCCAGCGAGTTATTTGTTGATGTGTGGTCAATGCCTCCCCTGCAGAGAATGAGATGAAACATGGGGTGTCTTTTCATCCTGTTGATCATTTATATTTCCCTTTTATTTATTTTATTTTTTTTCCTCACAATGGTTCTTGCTTAGAATAAAGTTTGTCATCAGCAACAGCTTGCTTTGGCCTCTTTTAGTATTTTCACCTAAGTTTTGTTAGCCCTTTGTGTCCATATGATCCCTCCAGACGTCTGTAGCTAGGAGATGGTGCTATCTACATCCCTGAGGGAATATTTGACCTGATCCCATGTGTTCACTGTTCCTGCAGCCTTGTTGTCCTCACAGAGGCAAGGCATATCTTGTAGTTCTTCCCAAATCATTTCCAGTGTCTGGATATCACTAGGAGAGACAACACCTGTTGAGGTGTGAGCAGGTGGACAAATTGCTCAACATCTTGGCAGAACTGAAAGCAGAGATGTTGTGGTTTGATGGGGGCGGGCAAATGTGGTAAGAGATGAATCCCCTTGCATTCCAGCTGATCCTCAAATGTTAGAAGGACTGAGGTCACTTTGACACATCTCTTAATAGGGATACCAAATACTTTGATAACTATAGGCCCGACTCTGGCAGTACCGGATTCATAGTGTCAGCTGTAGGTCCGATGGCCTTCAAAACAGCAAACTGAGTTCACAAATAGTATGATCAGCTATAGGCCCAACTCTGGCAGTATCGGGTTCACAGACTGCCTGTTGACTGTAGGTCTGATCACCTTCAAAACAAGTGGTTGAGTTCACAAATAGCATGATTTATTCAAATGCAACATTTAGAGAACTGGTTTCGGATGGCAATACAGGAAATTCTCTACTACAGTGTGGGATTTTAGCTAGTGTCTAGTGTACAAATGCTCAATCATCCTTCACCCCAGAACATGGGAGAGGGCTCTCAACCACAAGGAGTCTCCTCAGGCAGTGTCCTGACCCAAGGGCAGGAAAGGGGTTCAGCCTGTTGACTGATCCAGAAGTTACAATGGAATCTTCCATCTCCCTTCTTCCTTCTTTCTTTCTTCCCCAGTTCCTCTTCCTTCTTTTTCAGTTCCCTCTTTCTTCTTTCCCTCTTCCTTCTTTCTTCTTCCTACCACATCCCTCCTTCATTCACCTTTTATATATTTTCTTTTACATTTAGGTGGAGCTTGAGTGACTCTAGTCATGCTTACTTTTGTTATTGCGGTAGCTATCTTTCACCTCAAACAAGGCTCTGTATTACCATAACTTCTGTTAGGCCCTAGTTTTTCTCTTATTTCCCCTTTCTCGAGCAATTCTGCTGTACTCCTTCAGCATCACGCCTGCTAAACCATGTTCCTAAGTGCCTCATCTACATTTTTTTTAAATACTGAGAGGGACAGTGATTTCACCACTTCCCTGGGCAGCCTGTCCCAATGCTTCACTGCTCCTTCCATGTCCATGTAGAAATTTTTCCTAAAATCCAACCTGAACCTCCCCTGGTGCTACTTGAGGCCATTTCCTCTTGTTCTGTCGGTAGTTATTCTGGAGAAGAGATTGACTATCTCCTCACTACAACCTCCTTTCAGGTAGTTGTAGAGAGTTGTGTCAAAACAGCTGCCCAGGACTGAGGGGACTTTCAGGGACATTTTTTGATCTGCTGATGCCCATGGTCTGCAAAGCTGAGAGACAGTGTACCACCCTGGCTTGTCTCAGAGAGGCTGGATGCTCTGTGCATCCAGGGGTTGGAAACCTGTTGTGACTTCCTGACACTGAGGCCAGGCAGCAGGTGACACCACTTCTTGTCCCAAGGTGACCTAATCATTGCTTTTTCCTCCCCAGGGTCCAGCTCTTCTCGCTCTGGTGATGTAGAGAAGTGCAGAACATGAGAACCCCAACAAGAGCTCGGTGATCTGACAAAGAGCCAAGGCAAAGGTTGGAAAAAGTTGTGTTTGGTTGTAAGAGGGAGACACTGACGTCTTGTGGGCAGGACAACCTGTACCAGCTTGTTCTGCAGAACTGATATCTGCTAAGTGTTTCCCTCGGTGTTTTTGTACTTTTTGGGTTATAAAAGCAGTAAGAACTTCTCCAAGCATATCAAAATGGGCCAGTTTAATGTAAATATCAAATATTAAAAGGATGTAGGATTTGAAGTCCTCTTTGCACACATTGTCCCCAGAGGCAGGGATGGAGGGGCAGGTCCTTGCACCGAGGTACTGCTCACGAGGCGATATCAGGGAGCGAGCTGCAGTTGTCCCTCTGTCCTTCCTGGGGCTTATCCTGGGGCAGTGTCATTCCCTTGGTTTCCCAGCTGATTTCATTTGGAGGCTCCTCTACAGCCTCTGCCTTGTCTGTGTGGTGCTCACCTCCCTGGATCCAATGTGTCCTTTGGGGGTTCAGCTCTACCTCGTTGCCTGCAAAGCAGAGGAACAGTGTGTCACAGCATGGGAAGGTTCCCACTCATCGGGAAGCCTAGGTCCTACAGGATGGGGCATCTCTCCCCTAGGAAAGAGCTGTGTGGTTGCACACAGCTTTGGTGATCTGTCTCCTATGTTGTCCATGGCACGGAGTGTGAGGGCCTGAGCAGCACTGCAGGAAGAGGCAAAGCCCCTGACAGAACAGCTCCTGGGGATGGTGAGGCATCTTACCTGAGTGATGGAGGACTTTGTACCTCTTTCTCCTCCATTTTAGGAAGAGGACAGCTCCACTCATCATCACCAGAGTCAGCGATACCACCAGCCCCAGCAGCAGAAGCACTGGCAGAGGGATAGTGGAGCTGGACATGGCTGTACCTGGCAGAGAACGTGAAGCAATATGCTTAGCACCCTTCAGTGAACCAGTGCTGCAGCCAAACACCTCAATCTGCATCCTCTTCCTATCTCCCTGCCCATCAGAGGAAGGTCACCTTCATTCTCATCCTCCAAAGATTAGTCCTCACCCCAATGCCCTTGGCCTGGCTCCATCCATGTCTTTATGCTCCCATAGAGCATCCTCTCTATGGTCCTCTCTATGCATCCATGTCTCCATGACTCTATCCAGAGGGCAAAAACCCAGCCTGCAGTGCTGCTGGGCTAGTACCTGGGGACAGCACTACCTGTGCACACCACGCCAGCATCCTCCCCGTGGTCACAGTTGTGTTCTCCCCACGCCTTGGTCCTGCACTCGGAGAGGGCAGCCTCCCTCCCAGTGCACTTGACATCATCCAGCCAGATGGGGTCAGCCCCCGGTCCGAACGCCGCGGACCCCGGGGCTGAGACGGCCGCCCCACACCCCAGCTGCCGGCACACCACGTCGGCGTACGCCAGCTTCCAATCATCATCGCACACCGTTCCCCACCGCTGGGCGTGCAGCACCTCCACTCGACCCGAACAGCGGCTTGAACCGTTCACCAGGCGGATGGTGGGTGGCTCTGAAAGAGGAAAACACAGCAAAACAAAAAAACGCAACAAAACAAAACCCAAGATAGCTAAGGAACTATTCCCTGCAGGGCTTTGAGGCAACAAAAGGGCTCAGAAAGGATGTCTGAGAGGCTGCATGGAAAGTCTCCAGGACAATTATGCTGCACTCAGCACTGCTCTGAGCAGTGGGAACTGTCTCAAAGCCTCGTATTGAATCCCAGGAAAGGGTTTCTGTGTTCCCTGTCACCTCTGGAGGCAGGACAGGCCACTCCTTCCCTAGACTTTTAATTTTTTTTTCCTTGACAAAAAAAATCTCTTAACATTGCAAAACACTCATATCAAGAAGTGTTGTTTTGGCTCCAGCTATGTCCAGCAGAGACTCACCTGCAGCCCCCAAAGGACGCAGGTTTTACAGTAAGTCCAGTGCCACCTGCCAGTCTCATGAACATATTTTGCATTCCCCTCAAATGTCATTCATACTAAGGAAACTCATTTCTGGAAGTGTCTCTCACTCTCTATGGGCTAGAGGGGATGCCAAAGGCCTTAAATGTGTTGGTGGGAGAGGTGGGGGCCACGTCCTTGCATATCCTAAAGAGCAGCCTTCAATATAAAGCAAGGTTGTGCAGACAGTGAGAATTTCAGGTTATTTCAGGGAATCAGAGACCATCATGGAAATTGCTCCCAGAAGGATCTTCTCCAGGGAAACCTGGCTCCTGCACACAGCCACAACAGAGAGCTGGGAGCTCCCAGCCTGCAGGCCCCCCAGTCCCAGTAGCTGTGTGGTTTCTGGTCCCCCTTGATTGAATACTATCATAGAATCATAGAATCATAGAATGCTTAAGGTTGGAAGGGACCTCTAGAGATCATCTAGTCCAACCCCCCTGCACACACAGGGTCACCTAGAGCACGTGGCACAGGACTGTGTCCAAGCGGGTTTTGAAGATCTCCAGAGAAGGAGACTCCACAACCTCTCTGGGCAGCCTGTTCCAGGGCTCTGGCACCCTCACTCTCAAGAAATTTTTCCTTAAGTTCCTGTGGAACTTTTGGTGCTTCCATTTGTGGCCATTTCCTCTAGTTCTGTTGGTGGCCACCACTGAAAAGAGGCCAGCACCATCCTCCTCACTGCCTCCCTTGAGGTCCTTATAGACACTGCTCAGGTCCCCTCTCAGCCTTCTCTTCTCCAGCTGAACAGGCCCAGCTCAGCCTCTCCTCATAGCGCAGATGTTTCAGGCCCCTCATCATCCTCATAGCCCTGCGCTGGACTCTCTCCAGCAGTTCCACATCCCTCTTGTGCTGTGGAGCCCAGCTTGGACCTTGGGGCATCCAGCAATCTGGCAGCTGTAACTGTTGTCTCAGAAGGGTCATTTCACTGTGCAAGCCCACCAGCTCACCCTGGCCCTGCTTGCTGAATGTGCATTACCTGAGCACACCACACTGGCATCTTCACTGTGGGTACATCCGTGGGTTCCCCATGGCTTGGCTGGGCACTTGGAAAGCATATCTTCTGTTCCAGCACAGTCCACCCCGTCCATCCAGATGGGATCGTGGCCTTGCCCAAACTGTGCCTGTCCGGGGGCTGAAATGGCTGGGCCACAGCCCAGCTGCCGGCACACCACCTCAGCCTCCTCCATGCCCCAGCTGTGGTCACAGACGCTGCCCCATCGTCGCTCATGAAGCACCTCGACCCTCCCCATGCAGGGGCTAGAGCCATTCACCAGCCGGAGCTCGGTCGGGTCTGAAATGGGTCAGAGAGAGAAGCACTAGGAAGGATATCTGCATTTACCCAGGGTCTACGAGGCACTGCAGGAGAAGGGCTCTGCTTCCCCTTCCCGCATGCATAGGCCTTGCTGCCCAACTTTGGAGCTTCTACGGTCTTTGGGAACAGCCAGAAGGGATTTACCAAGGACAAATCATGCTTTCCCTTTGTGATTCCCTTTGGTGCTGTGTTAAGCAGCTGTGTGCTAGAGCCTTTGGTGCTGTGTTAAGCAGCTGTGTGGGAAAGGGAAGACTAGTAGGTGTTGCGTACCTTGGCTTTATTGAGGCCTTTGGCAGTGTCACACACACTATTATTAGAGCCAACCTGGAGTTATATAGACTGAAGAAGTGGATGGGAATTTGGTTGTATTGCTGGGCTGAAAAGACAGTTCAGTCAAACTGGTAGCCAGTTACCAGTGGCATCTCTCAAGGGCCTTATACTGAGACCAAAGCTATTTAATGTCTTTGCTAATGACACAGGAGAGTGTACGCTCTTGGCAGGTTTGAAGATGATTCTACGTTTGCACCGGTGCTGTGCCAAGGGCCTTTTGCAGCCCCAGCCTTCTGCAGCTTCCCTTGGCACAGGGTCAAACGGGATTCATAGGGGAATGTGGACACCTCCATCACTACTATCCTGCCCTCTGCCATGCTGTCGCAAATAACCTGGCAATTAGTTCACATCAGAGAGGGTTACCTGAGCACTCAACAATGACGTCTTCTCTGTGGTGACACTGCTGGACTCCCCATGGGGTGCCTGGACACTCCGAAAGCGTGGCTTCTGTCCCCGAGCAACTGATGTTCGCCAGCCAGATGGGACCTTGTCCTTGTCCAAAGGACTTGCTGGGAGCTGAGAGAGCCACCCCACAGCCCAGCTGCCGGCACAGCACTTGAGCATCCTGCATGTCCCAGCCCTCTGCGCACACACTGCCCCACGTGTGGTTGTGCAGCACCTCGACTCTCCCCACGCAGGGACTGGAGCCGTTCACAAGCTTGAGATCTAGGACAAAAGAGACAAGCAGCTGCTGAAATGTAAAGGACAAGAAGACACTCCAATGCCCCTGCATCAGTGCCAGGAGGCCTCAGAAAATCATCCTGCATGGGTGGTCAGGGACTGGGTATAGCTATCACAGGACCCAATTCCACCATTCCTCTGGAGTGTCTGCACTTCATGGCCATGATCCATAATACACATCTGGAGCATTGTGTCCACATCTGGAGTATTGTGTCCAGTTCTGGGCTCCACAGTACAAGAGGGATGTGGAGCTGCGGGAGAGAGTCCAGCGCAGGGCTACGAGGATGATGAGGGGTCTGGAACATCTGCCCTATGAGGAGAGGCTGAGGGAGCTGGCTGTTGAGCCTGGAGAAGAGAGGGCTGAGAGGGGACCTGAGCAGTGTCTAGAAGTACCTCAAGGGAGGCCGTGAGGAGGATGGTGCTGGCCTCTTTTCAGTGGTGGCCACTGACAGAACTAGAGGAAACGGCCACAAACTGAAACACCAAAAGTTCTACATGAACTTAAGGAAAAAATTCTTGAGAGTGAGGGTGCCAGAGCACTGGAACAGGCTGCCCAGAGAGGTTGTGGAGTCTCCTTCTCCGGAGATCTTCCAAACCTGCTTGGACGCAGTCCTGTGCCACGTGCTCTAGGTGACCCTGCGTGTGCAGGGGGGTTGGACTAGATGACCTCTAGAGGTCCCTTCCAACCTTAAGCATTCTATGATTCTACGATTCTATGATTCTGTGATTCTATGATTCTATGAATAACACATGGCCAGATTAGGAGACTGGGAGACTATCTGCTGCCTTAGGAACCAGAGTCCTGTGCGACACCGCTCCTGAGATCTCAACGCCTGCTGTGGCAGGGCCATGGGGTGGGAGCATGCCACCTTGCAGCCTCATTCCTGCAGCTCCGTGCAGACCACGTCCATGGGAACTGCCCTGCAAGCTGGGCTGACCAAGGCCACCATTGGCCAGCTGCCTGAAAGCCTCCCTCTGCACAGACCTGCTCGGGATTTGCGGTGGATCTGAAGGAGTTGCAGACAAGAGGAACAGAGTTGCAGACAAGAGGAATTTACAATAGGGACAAGGACCACCGCTGTTTATGGATGTTGCCACCTGCTCCTCCTGGCATCAGGCTTCCTGCAACGCGTTGGGTCTCTGCACCAAGCAAGCACCCACACCAGGCTGCCTGAAAGGGAACATGCACCACCCCGCATGTAAAGCATGCCCAGATGTGACAAGAAGCAGTGTACCTGAGCAGACCACAGCAGCACCTTCCCTCTGGGCACAGGCATGGGGTCCCCAGGAACCCGTCGGGCACTCGGAGAGGGTATGTTCCATCCCTGAGCAGTTCACACCTTCCAGCCAGAGGAGCCCTCGCCAAAAGTGGGCTACTTTGGGGGCTGAGAGAGCCACCCCACAGCCCAGC